GAAAGGGAGCAGAAAAATGGAAACTTTTTCTCCTTTGCCAACACTTGGAACTGCAAGAACCATGCACTGTATTATATATCTCTCTCATTTCCAATAAATAAAAATGAAATTAAAGACTGCCCATTTCCCAAAAAACCAAAATACAGTATTTCACTTCTTGCAGATTATCTCTCTGAATTGTTTTTGGGATAGGTGTAGATATATAGAGCAGTAGTCTAAGATTGCTTGATTAAACAAAAAGTGAATCTAAATTCTGACTGAAAAAAAGGACTGACACTACTTTTCCTAGTTTTGACAATGGAAAAAAAGTTGGAGATTTCAAGAGCTTTTATATTGATTTACTTGAGTGTAGAATACAAGTAAACCTATAAATGAGTAACAGAAATTTTTCAGGGCTTTCAATTCTCTTTCTGATAGTTACATTTCTATAATTAGAGGAGAGCAAAAAATTATTCCCTTATTGAAAAAAGGCAGCAAAAGGGGTCCATGAGAAAAGAATTTATACATTGTTATTATTATTGTTCATGGGGTAATAACTAATAAGTTAGTTAAGCAGACAAAATAACAACTTTCATGAAATTGGGAGTGGCTGGTTTTACAAGTTCTATACTCAGATTAAATACATTCCTTTAATTGGCCATGGAATTGATTGTATGTGATTAGGGACTTTTTTTTTTTTGTCAACGCAACTTTTTGTGTGAGACAACCTAACGATCAGACGAATCAACTCGTCATACTTTGTAAATAAAAATGTATGTTTATACTATCAATTGTGATAATCATGATTATGTTATTTTTTAAAATATGCATATTGCGAAAAATATATATATATATAACGGTCCAACCGTCTAATAATTAGACTTCTCTAACAGAAAACCTATCATTGGCATTTTTAACACAAGACCTACTATTTTTCCTAGACCATTAATATATTAAACTTGTGAAAATTAATGCTGTATGAAATGATATTTTGTCCATCATAGAACAATTATTTAAATGAACTTATAGCACTAAACACTTGAAATTTCAAATGAGTGTTTTCAGCATCATAATTACTTTAAATCAAGTCTATTTTATCTAAAGTCCCTACCTTTATTGATCTAAAAAAATTAGAACACTCATCATCAGCCATCACTAGGGCTATTATGAGGTGGTTAAATATGTTGGGTAACACAAATAATCATTTTTCAATTATTAATCTTATTATAATTATAATACTTTATTTATTTAATTTGTTTTTGCGTTTTTCTAGCCTTTCTTAGTTGAGTAGCTACTTAGCTAGCAGCATTGATGATTCGAAATGAGGAGCCAATAATCAAGATTGCCTTTTCACAGTATGATTAACTGTGACGAACTCCAAAATTTGGTAAACCAAAGAANTAGTACTAATAATAAATCAAGAAAATAGAAAAGCTGATAACAGCATAAATGCTTCAGATTTATTTCTCTCAATCTTTTCACTAGCTGATGATGAATAAAGCCCTGTAAAAGTTGTACATAGGCTACCTAATCAAATTAGGCACTTGGGATTTGTGTTCTTTTAATCTACTAAAATTATTATCAAATTTGGAATTTGAGTTTGACATTTGTTTTTGCCCTAAACAGGGGCCCCCTCAGGTGATTAAACCATGAAAGATTTTAAATAAATAAAATTAATAATGAAAAGGATTAGGAAAATAGCCATCATGCAATTGGTAAAATTAGAATACACTCAAATGTCTCTCAGTGATTGAGGTGTGCTTTTCTCTTTGTGTCACTCATAAGGGGATTTGATCAGTCACTGATACAATAGCATAGTACATTTGACTCTGCAATTTTTTACTTCACATCCCCAGAACAAATTATTCATATAGCTCATTTTGTATTTTTTTTTTTTTTTTNTTTGATATGTATACTATTGTTGTAAACACATGTCATGTTCCTTCAAATAAATAAAAACTAGTTTTGATTTTTTCTTTTGAATATGTGTGTAACAGTTACAGGAGAATTGAATGGAAAAAATCTAATGGTGGGGTTGATATAAGAACAAAATATAATAATTAAAATTGATTTAACGTGAAAAATAATAAATATTAAGCGGTTATTATATATGTGAGTAGATGAGTATAAATATCCATATTAATAATTTATTTGTTATTTTAAGAAATGTATTAATTTAACTAAGAGGGATTTGAAGTAAGAAGTGCTGTTCATTTGATATCCCCTAACAGTCTAATTAATTAATAAACTAATATGTACTGGAAAGGAACATTGCATCTATAGGTATTTTATACTAACTCAAGAATTTAGGTCATTTTTGCAGTTTTATCACAAAGTATTTTTGTTACAATATCGTACATAAACTTTTTCATTCTTGTAATTTGAGTTTGCTATATTTATTTGCATATTAATTCACACTGGGTGAAGGGAGGAAATGAAACAATTTTGTACTAAAATTGGTGGGATTGGATGAAGGAAATGCAACAATTTTAGACTAAAATTGATTAATTTTGAAATGTATTGAATAAAATTGGTGGGATTGGGTGAAGGAAGGAAATGCAACGATTTTGGACTAAAATTGATTAAGTTTGAAATGTATTGACTAAAATTGGTTAGTTGGAACCTCAAAACACCAAAAATAAAAAGTTCCAAAAAAAGAAAAATAATGGGTAAAAATTAATGTACTTTGTTAGTGAAATTATTGCAAATCTTCAACACATTGCAACTCAACAGACATTTTGCAAGTAAGGAACTTCTAAAAGTAGTCAATTATTAACTCACAAAAAAAGTGAAAATAAATACATAAGTAAGTGAAAATAACAAATTTTCAGAATCATAAACTCTGGCAAGAGTATCAGTCATTCCACTGGTAAAAAATACAATCAACCAAACTGCAATGTTCAACTGAAATATAAAAATATAGAAAGAGATGTTAACAAAAACACTATTCATTTTAGTAATTAGAATGGCAATCTTCACATTGCCCAAAACATAAATTAACAGGCCAAGCGAAGCATTTGCTTCATCACAGTAAAAATTCAAGTAAAATCTAAATAGCAGGAATTTCAGGAAAATATATCTAAAAAAACACGACCTCATTGTTCTTAGCAGCAAAAAAAAAAAGGGAAAAAAATATCTGTCGAGGATCACTAAGCTTTTTGCAGCATCAAATGTAGTAATGTACACATTAATTACTCGTTATATCTGAAGCATTTTTGCTCTCAAGTTTCAGTTGACAGCACAGTCGAAATCCAATTCGAAGCTGCAGTTTCAGTCTCTGAATCTAAATGCACGAAGGGTGAGAATGGAGTAATGGCAACCTGTTTATATATGCAACAATCATCAGATGCAAAGTTATTAGCAGTGTAAAGGGAGAAAAAAATAGGAGGTACGAAACTTACAAAGCCATTTTCGAGAGCTCTGAAATCGAGATCCTCATCATCTTCATCTTGTTCCTTGTCAAGCATCTGACCAATTAACTCGTCAGGTTATAGCTTATTCATAAAGACCAACCAAATGATTGTTGTATTGTGATAACAGAGAAAAGGGAATGAAGGATTATACTTTTCGAATTGGATGAGAAGACAAAATAATTTTTGAGACCAAGAGGGTAAAATGAAAAAGAAAAAAATAATGTATTTACGTTTCACATGATAGTTTGAGCAAGTTGAAAGTCGAGTTACAAAAGGATTAGAAATAATAGGCTAAATTGGATTTATAGTCCTGCTGGTTTAACGACATAGCAATTTCAGTCCCATGAATCTAAGAATTTGCGTGATTTAATATTTTGTTGCAATTTAAGTCTTTTAAGGACTGAAATTGCAACAAATTCTCAAATTTACAGATTTTTTATTAGCAATTTAAGTCCTATATCATAAAATTCTGTTGCAATTTTAGTACTGTAGTTTAAAATTTTGTTGTAATTTTGGTCCTCGAAGGACTGAACTGAAATTGCAGCAAAATATTAAATCACATGATCAAAAAGGCGAAAAGTTAAATCAATAGGACTAAAAATACATTTCCGCCTACATAATATTTGTGGTCAAAGAATGAGCAAACAGTATTTATTCCCAAAACACTTACCTCTGCACGGAAATACTTGGTTGTCTTTTTAAAATCAGATTTACCAACAGCACCAACTGATTCAACAACCTCAATATTCTTCTTTTGAGTGGCCAAACGCCGAGCAGCACCCTGAAGTTAAAATGTGAAAATAAAAATCTGCTTCGAACAAGATAAAATCTGAGCAAACAATCTTTTTTCTGCCAAATAATACGAATTATAAATAAATAAACAAATAAATAAAGGTGAACTATTTCTAGTTACACACAGCAGCAGATGCATCACGACCGAGCTGCGCGAACTGCATGCCAATGCCAGGTTGGCCGCCCCCAAAACGTGCAGCAGCTAGATTCCTAGTGCTCGAAATGGCTTGCCAGCTAAGCGTGGACCTCCAGCAGCTACTCTTTGTAACCTTTAACCCCTGTCAAAGTATAAATATTGCAGACAATACGTAAAAAGATCTAATAGGCTATCATCAATGTAAACCTATAACTATAGTTACTCAACTTCGGAAAATAAAGAAAAGGCAAGTTTAAGAGCATCAAAGCCATTTCAAAACGATATAAAGCTAGTTGATTTATAGAAAACCACCAACATTCAAGATAACTCTAGCATATTCTTTAAATAATTAAGCAACCACATTAGTGCACACTAAGTCACTAACTCATGTATGTATAACTAACTTCCATTAATCCACTGTCTCGAAAATGACTGATATGTAGACTTAACACCAAATCCTATGTATGACTGAGTCCAATAATTATGTTCATAAACATATATCACCTCGTAGTAAACATGGGTTTGGTGATTTCATACTAGTGTAATAATAAACACACTGCATCCAATGATATACTTATCGACAATGAAGGACAACTATCACAAAACAGAAAAGGGATTTTTTTTTTTTTTAAAAAAAAGAAATACATGAACCTTGTTTGTTAAGGGCGATGCTGGAACTTCTATATCCAACGAGAAACCTTTGGGGAAAGAACCCTTCTCGATATCTCTTATGGCTGCATTTATGATTGGTAAGCACACAGTCACAGCATCCTTAAAGTCACTTTCCTTACTTCCATCCTTTTTCCTGCAATAAAAGATTAGATAGCAAGCTATCAATCATGCAATTGTATATCCTGTATGTGAAGTTACTTCATAGNNAAACAGACCAGTCTAGTGATATTGCTATGGATGGCACGCCATTAATAAGGGCTTCCCTAGCTCCAGCAACAACACCTGAATAAAACCTAGATTCATCCTCCTCATAAGTATAGTCCTCTTATTGAATTATTTGACACCCATAATGATTAAGTTCATAGGTAACAGAACGAGAAAAGAAACTTACGTATGGTAGCCACAGCTAGAGCCTCTATTGATACCACTTATTACCTATACATCCAGCGAAAGAATATACAAAAGTAAAGGAGATAAGAGATAGTAAGCAAATATCAAAAGCAAAAATATCCACTACTTGGAGACATTATAAAGCATACCAATAGAGGCTTCGACCATGAAAACAGTGCACCAGACAGTGCTAATGACACACAGTCTGCTGGAGTTCCTGAAAGTTACACAAGCACAACATTTGCTTCATCAAATACCATATCATTACAATTTCACAGTTAGCAAACACAAACTGCACAATGAAAGCAAATTCAATAAATATACCAGAAATTTCATAAGCAATGGCACCATTATATTCAGCTGAAACAACCTCGACTGTTTCTTTTAACGACACTGAATGCCCTGAAGTAGACTTATCCCTGCCATGTCCCAATCAATAGATAATCAGCAAAGCTCGTGACAACAGGAAAGAATCGCCCACAAGTGCATAATGCGAGAATTGGGATCCAAAATGGAAGAAAAAATCCACAAAACTCGTATCCGAACACGAGGCAAGATTCTGATATAAATTTCACTGGGCAATCGCCTAAGGCCCACAAATTTTTCAAACATTACTTTCACTTTCATACATTAATATATACCTCGCGTAAATTCATTATTGAACTTGTGCCCAACACATTGTATAATTGTCTTTAGAACTTTAAAAATATATGAAATTGAATTTTGGAGGTACCAATCAGGAGTTACCCGCAGCCTCAAAAACTCAAAATCCGACACAAACATTAACAAATTCCACCAACAGTAAATCCACATAGCAGCTACAAAAACACAGAAAATGCACTAGATCTGTAAAGAAAAAAGCATTGCAGCTGATAGGCACGGAATGACAATTCAAATGACTGCCCACACAAAAAAAGATAAAAAAATAAATAAACAAAGACGAAAGGTAAAAAAATAATTACGATTGAGGGGCAACGACGTGGACACTGTAAGCGCCTTCACGAACGAGGGCATCAACCAGGCACGAAAGCCCAGGCGACACAATCCCATCACTGCTCGTGACCAAGATTATCGGTCTTGAATCATTCTCGTCGCCGGGATCGACCCCCGCCGGCGGCGGCGGGGCCGAGTCGGTGTCCCCTTTATCGGGCTTCGGCTTAGCGCCGTCTTCGTCGCTGTCGCCGGCGGCGGCGGGTTTGCGGTTTGAGAGGACCTGTTGGAGATTGGAGACGAGCCCAGGAGGCAATAAATTGTTCTTCAACGCTGGAGTTGTCATTTTCATTCAGAGAGAAGATAAAAAGGAAAAAAAAATGAGAGGAAGTGGAATCTGACGGAGAAATGATGATGTGAAGAAGAAAGAGTAGGGGTAAATTAGGGATATGAGAAAATATGGACCTTTACACACGGTGTGTGTTTGAGTGTGAGAGAGAGTGGCTAGATTTTATGATTTTATTATAATTAATAAAAGAAAAAAATTATTTGTACAATTTTTTTTTGTATAACAATATAATTGCAAATGAAATCATGATACTATAATGTAATTGAACATTTCAATTTTGACAATGAAATGCCAAACTTTTGATTTTACAAATCTGCAGCTAGACATGACATTATTTTATAGTATAAGTATGTATTCTTTGTTGAGAAACTAATGTTAGGCAGCCAAGGATATATTTTTCTAAATTGATTAGGTTATTTATTTTGGTGTTACTTTACTGCTCCCTCTCTCCCATCAAGATAAACCAATTTATCCAATATCTGTTACATCAACATGGTGACATGTATTCATATTTCACAGTAATACATCTAATAATATTTATAAACTTACCGAAATTTACAAGCTATTGCACTATTGAACTATAAGAGGCCATGGGACAATATATTCAACATGTGAGGGGGACATCATAATGTTTTGTAGGGCAAGTATTAGCAATTTAGAGCATGTTTGGATATGAAAATTTTTGGTGGTGTTGGTTTTTTTAGGTTTGGTTTAGTTAATTTTGAAAAATGTGGTATGGTTAGTTGTTAGTTGGTATATTAAAATAATATTTAAAATAAATAATTAAAACTGATTTGATGTAAAAGTAGGAGAGAGATAATTTGAAGTGATTGTTAGTTAAAATAATGTGAGTGGACGAATAGTTAATTAAGGTTGACGTAGTGAGCATGAATGATTGATTGATATTATTTAATTATATTGATAATATTGATGATAGTGAGGTTGAGTTAAAATTGAGTTAAAAAAATAGTTGAGTTAAAATGTTGGAGTTTTTTTGAAAATTTCCATAAACAAATATGCTCTTAGCATCCACAAAACAATTGTTGCATTTTCAAATAAGCTAATATTCTTTAAATTCATTGGTCATCCCCTTTAATCAAGGCATTGAATCCATAAAACAAATATTGCAGATTTAAAATAAGCTACTATTATAAAATTCCTTGGTCAAATGGCCCCTTTAATCAAGGCATTGAATTGATCACATCACATCAAGGTTGAAATACTTTATTGATTGCCAATATTTGTTCATTTTTTCCCTCAAAGACCAAAACAATTGTGTCAAGAAAATGAGATTTTACAAGGAAAAGGAACAAGAGAAAAAGTTATCTTATAATATACAATCATAAACACTTTATTACCATAGTTATGAAAATGGGACCTGATTTGACGGGTTTAGATCGAAAACCATTTGATTCTTTTGAAAAAAAAACATTTGCTAAATAACCAATCTTGGCCAGTCAGAATAAAAAATTATCGGCTGGTTAGATCGGTTCTTTGTTATTTATTATTATATTTTATTTTTTTATAAAATGAGTTTTAATATTTCTAAATACAAATAAATAAATAACTTTAAATATATGAATATGTATAAATTATTACATCATGTAACTTAGAGCATTTTCAGTGTGGGACTATTGAGTCCCAAAAATATGTGACTTTCAACATCGTCTTTATTTTTTTTCTCTCCAATACTAACTGTCTAGGCCCATTTTCTTTTGATGTGACGTGACCACTTTCTCACCCAATGTCTGAAGGTATAAAGTCTCCGTAATTCAACACAATCGTGCCAAAATCTTAAGAAAACGTGGGAAAAAAATTGGGCCAACAAATATGAGGTATTTTTATGAACATAAATTTATAAGTCTAAAATAATAACTACCTATCATTTAACATTTAAGCCATATTTTTATGTTTTAAGTCATATTTTTATGTTATCGCGATATTACTAATAAATACAATAGGTATTTACGAAATACTCTTTATATTATGTAAAATAATATTTATTACATATATATAATACCATTTGTTTAATCGAGTAATTTATGAAAATAATATTATTATGTTATCGCGATTTTTTGGTTTGATTTGGTTAATTTTAAAAAAGTTGGTATGATTAGTTGTTAGTGGGTATATTAAAATAATATTTATGATAAAATAATTGAAATTGATTTGATGTAAAAGTAGGAGAGAGAGATTTGAAGTGATGGTTAGTTAAAACAATGTGTGAATGAATAGTGAATTAAGGTTGATATGGTGTGTATGAATGATTGATTGATAGTATTATTTAATTATATTGATAATTTTGATGATAGTAGAGTTGAGTTAAAGTTGAGCTAAAAAAAATAGTTGAGTTAAAATGTGGGATTTTTTTAAAAAAATTCCATAAACAAACATGTTCAAACTATCGGACCAATGTCTTACCAGGATAGATCCGATTTTTATAACATTGTTTAATTCATAGATATTATTAAGCAATGAAATGTAATACTCTGCCTATGAAAAAACATGACAAAATAATAAAATTTGTAAAAATCACTGTGAGCCAGTCAACAAAATAAAAACTAAATCTGACAAAGTCAACATTCTCTTGTCCATAACAAGACAACAGGCAGTCAATCAGGTTTAATCATCAGATAAAAGAATAGTATTTTACAATTTGTAAGCTGTGTGTCGGTGTTCAAACACCAGCGTGGATGGACCAACCATAATTAGCGCGTGATACGGAGTGAGATCATTACACACACTATTCCACGTGGCCAAAATTTATTTGAAATCCCTGTCCATGATGTATCATTCGGATTGGACAGCTACTTTAAAAATTGATTTCGAGTTTATAATTATGTTTTTCCATTAACCAATATTAAAGGAAGTCATTTTGTTAGATTTCACAGCATGTTTCCCAAATTCAAATTTGTTCCTGTATAGTAATTCTTTGAGCTCAAATTTGCATTTCTACACTTTAGACATTCTTTGCTTCCACTTATGGGTGAACAAATTCGAGCCGAAATAAAAAAATCGAGCCAAACGGATATATTCAGTGAGGTGCGATTCAATTTTCTTAAAATGCGATTTGCGACGCGGTTAAGATTTTAAAAATCGCAAAAAATTCGGTGCAGTTCGGTTTTATGGTCGAATTGTGCAGTCTTAATCGAACTGCACCGAATAAAATTTATGTTATGTTATATATATATATATGTGTGTGTGTGTGTGTGTGTGTGTGTGTGTATGTGTGTGTAATATTACATAACTACCTATATATATATATATTACATAAACTGTTAGAAATATTTTATTGGACAACATATGTAAATTAAATGTGTATAGTTGTCATAATATTATTCAATTAAAGTGATCTACTAATTTGTAATTTTGAATAAATAGAGTATCAAATTGTTATGGATTTAAAAGTGTAGATACCATTATGTGATTTTCTGTTTGTTGAGGGACCGAACTGAAAATCAATATTTCTTATTTATTTGGTTATGGCCCCAAACGACGAAAAGATACGAGCAGATTTATGAAGGGGTGCTTTCTCTCTTTAAAGCACTCACCTTATCACTTCAGAAGATTAAATATAACAAAATCATATATCCAATACAAACACTACAGATCAAAATCTGCTATAAGGTTCGATCGTTTGGAAGACCATACCAGTCCAACAAGATCGTTTGGAAGAACACAACACACGAGAATTATCAAGCAAATGAATTCATGAAGTACGGTACGCTTCCGCTTTTATTCGGTTTTGATTCTCAATTATTCGATATGAATGCTCCTGGGATAAAACGAAGTTTGTTTCGCATAAGGCTAAAATTTTCCAACAAGTGGTATCAGAGCCTCTTCATTTTGAATTTTTTGAGAATTGTTTTATCTTTGATTCATATGCCAAAATCAGTATACTGTGATTATTGTTTCTACTGCTTCGATATTAATTTGGAGTATCGGATATGAATATTTGAAACTTGTTAAAGCCCAGACTATTGCCTCTGAATTCAATCGGCCTATGTTAAGTAATTGGAGCATGTATGTAAAACAATAATATAATATTTTGGTTAATTGGATTCAGTGGTTACTCATATTTCAAATTATGCTTGATCTTGGAATTAATGGGCCTATAGACATAGTAGTGTAATCAGTTGCTGCCATGCTTTTGATATATAGATTCACATATTATTTGACGTCAAAGTATGATTTGTTGTACGTCATGCATTGGCACATTTTAAAGCTTGAACTTGAATATTTGAATTGCTTGATGACCATGAAATCAATTAAGTCTACATTTCAATTGCAATTCAATTTCATTTGTGTCTATAAATTTGTGGCCAGGTTTAAGTATAAGGTTAAATTGCCAACAAGTTTAATATGTAATTTGGCAATACAGTTTTGTTTTGGTTCTGTGGCGGATTTTTCATGTCGGGCTCAGGCCTGGCCCGCAGCTGTTAANCAAAAAAAAAAAAAAAAAAATACAATTAACCGGTGTCTTGGGGAATTGAACCCGTAGTTGAGGGCCGAAGTGCCGTTTCATAACAGCCATTGGGCTAATTTGGTTTTCATTGATTATAGTTATGTATTATCAACTTATTAGATTTTTTATAATTGATTAGATTTATTATTGAGGTTCTACTTTGCTTACACTTAATTGAGGTTGATTTCAGGAATTTTTTAATTCAGTTAATTATTTATTTATTGGTTGTGCAAATATAGTAAAATAATTTAATGATTGCACATATATAAATAAATATTTCAATTATTTCGTTTAAATTTGTTTTGGTACATCTCGTGTTCCTATTTGAAATTTGTCTAATATCAAGATGATTTAATTGAAGCAAGAAGTTGCAAAAGTGACCTCTCTTGTGTAGATTTATTTGTCAAAGGTTTTAGATGTTTGTATTTGTATATTTTCATGCGAGTATTTAGTCGGCCCAAAGGAAGATTAATACTTGGCAGAAATATATTAATACTTGTGGTAATAAATATGTGACAATATATAGTTATATCCATGTGAATAATATGTCTTTCAAAAGAGAGACTATTTTTTTGACAGGAATTTTGTCAATATTTGATTACTACACAAAGGCGACCACTTGCAAATTAATATTACTGTCCAAAGACTTGATATTGATGTTGTGCTAGGTGCCTTGAGATGTTACTAAGCTTATTTAAAATTGTATGATTGATGTGAGTATGTTGATTAAGTTATTATTATTCTCTGTTAAGTTATGATATATGGTACTTATATATCTGCTAATACCAACAACATTCCTAAGGTTAAGGGTTTTATTATTATTTTTTTTATCCCGCTAAAGATTTATATTTAAGATGGGGAATGGATATTTTTTGAGGATGTTGAGTTTGGGGGGAGAAATAAGGCTAAGGACATTATCTTTGAGGAAGAATCATTTTCGATTTCTACTACTGCTTCTGACAATGTGCAGGTCTCTATTCCTGTAATTAGTCAAGAAGTAGATTTGGAACCTCAATAGGATAATGTCAAGAATCTCTCAACTCAAACTAGTTTAGTTATTCAGGATGAACAAGCTCAACAACCTCAATAGCTTATGTCATTAAGGAGATACACTTGAGATTAAAGAAATAACATTTTGGATGATTATGCTTTCTTCAAGAAAATAAAGGCAATAATGACTTGAAAGAAAGTGATCTTATTGCATCAGTAGCATATTTTGATCTTGCATTTCATTAGATGGATATAAAGACGACGTTTCTCAATGGTGGCATTGATGAAACGATCCATATGGTACAACCAGAAAGCTTTTGAGGTCGATGACCTGAAGAAAATGGTTTGTAATCTAAAGAAATCTATCTATGGACTCAAACCGGCATCTCGTCAGTGGTACCATAAATGTCATCAGGTAGTAATCTCATTTGGTTTTGAGACGAAAGTTGTTGATAATTGTGTGTATCATAAATTCAGTGGGAGTTTGTATGCCCGGGTCTTTACAAGACTATATATATCTCTTATTGTTGGTATAGTAGATAGATATTTAAGTAAATCTAGTATAGATCGTTGGAAAGCAGCCAAACGGGTCATAGGATACTTACAGAGAACTAAAGATTACATGCTCACTTACAGAAAATCAGATCATTTGGAGGTCATCGAGTATATTGATTCTGATTTTGGTGGATGTCAAGACAACTGATTTTGTAGCTTGTTATGAGACATCCAATAATGGAATATAGTTGCAAAAATGTCACTGAGCTGCATATTATTGAGAACGTAGAAAGACCACTAAAGTTTTATTGTGACATCAATTCAGCAGTATTATATTTCAATTACAGTAGGAACTTAACTAAGTCAAAGTATATCGACATAAAGTTCCTAGTTATAAAATAAAGAGTACGGAGTGCACAAGTTGCTATAGAACATGTAAGGACAGACTCAATGATTGCGGATCCGCTTACTAAAGGTCTAATACCCAAGGTCTTTCATGAACATACTGTTCAAATGGGTGTGACACAATTTCAGGATACTTGGTTTTAGTGGGAGTCTGTATTAATTGTTCTATAGACATATTGTATATGTGTGTTTGGATATTTCTGATCAGATATAAAGTATTCGGTGTATTATACTCTGTAATTTTGGTTTTATATTGATCTCACTATGGAATAAAGTGGCCAGTTGAAAATAGGCATGTAAGATCACATTACATGTAATTTTCATGCTACACTTCCATGATTGATCCATGTCATTTGATTGTATTGATATGTGTGATTATTGATGGGTTGATTCATGCTAAAAATGATGAAGGCCTCTTTAGTCCTATGTCATACGATTAATGGACGAGATTGGTAAAGGATACTCTTGTTTGTGACAACAAAGTTTGAGCTCATAAAGTAGTACACATTTGTTCGGTTGCATATGTAGTCCAAGTGGGAGATTGTTAGAAATATTTTATTGGACAACATATGTAAATTAAATGTGTATAGTTGTCATAATATTATTCAATTAAAGTGATCTACTAATTTGTAATTTTGAATAAAGAGAGTATCAAATTGTTATGGATTTAAAAGTGTGATACCATTATGTGATTTTCTGTTTGTTGAGGGACCGAACTGAAAATCAATATTTCTTATTTATTTGGTTATGGCCCCAAACGACGAAAAGATACGAGCAGATTTATGAAGGGGTGCTTTCTCTCTTTAAAGCACTCACCTTATCACTTCAGAAGATTAAATATAACAAAATCATATATCCAATACAAACACTACAGATCAAAATCTGCTATAAGGTTCGATCGTTTGGAAGTCCATACCAGTCCAACAAGATCGTTTGGAAGAACACAACACACGAGAATTATCAAGCAAATGAATTCATGAAGTACGGTACGCTTCCGCTTTTATTCGGTTTTGATTCTCAATTATTCGATATGAATGCTCCTGGGATAAAACGAAGTTTGTTTCGCATAAGGCTAAAATTTTCCAACATAAACACCTATATATATAAAAAAAATTGGTTACTTGCTATTAATTAACCAAACTGAACGGCACCGTGACAAAAAATTCGGTGCGGTTTCGACTCAACTTCTTCTCCAAATTGTAGAACTTTGGAAAATTTTTGATTTTCGATTTTATGTTGTTGGGTGCGGTTTTCCACTGAATTGCCCCGATGCTCACCCCTACTTCCAAGTTCTAGCCTTCTAGGATTTCTCACGGGCTATATTCTTGGTAAATTGAATGCCCAAATGTCGAGTATAATGGAGTTTCATAATTCATAAATACTTCGTGGGAGAGTAGTCTCAACAGAGCCCTATACAGGACTTCATTTAAGATGATCGTGAAAACCCACCATAAAGTTCTTATGCGCTTTATTAGTTTGAGGATATCTTATTGAACACAATTCATCATCCTAACGGCCTTGGGAATCGTCCTTCTCTGTCATATCCCATTCACATGTTTCATGATCAAACTCATACTTTCTATCACCTTATCTAGACCTTGATACATCACACGTGTGAGCTTACGAACTGAGACTGGTCAAACATTCCTCCAATAGACGTGTTTCTTTGCACTCGACCAATAACTTTGAGAAAATTTTGGGTTAGAGATTTTATCTTGTGCTATGTGAAGAGAAATTCGCAGGTCATAATGGTTCTGCAGCTATGCCATAATACTCGCATAAACACAAGCAGCTTGGAAGTAAAAGAAACTAGTGTTGACTGTTGATGTAATACTACAGCTGTTTTTTCCCTGGGACAGCCTAAGTCGCAAAATCTTTTCAAAAGTTTATTCTGTAGCTCAAATATTCATGATCAATATCTGCCAAATAACATTGTATATAAATCTACCCCATAAATTGAGAGAGA